CTGAATAAAAGTGCGACAACGTCGTTGTCGTAAAACGTAACGACGCGCCGCCCGGAGCGAATGTGCTGAATGTTACCGCGCATTTTATCGTGTTGCCAACGAACGTCGTGTAGCAGGAGGAAAGGAAACGATCGTAACTGTCTCTCTCATTCGCGAGGACAAGCCATGGCGTGTATCCGTGTATCGCCGGCGATGAAACGGACCATTCGCATTCGCAGCCGCGGGCTGCGCGGACGAAGACGTTTGCAGCTTTCGCGCTTCCGCGAAATAACGCTGCCGGACGACTGAATAAACATCTTGCGCCTCCGCGTTCGTTTAGTCGCATGTGCTCCAAATTCCTTTGGAATATGCTAATTTATTCTATCCAGGTGTATCATGATTTGTGACACGCTCGTGCCGGGTTAAAGCGCACTCCGCGGCACGACCATGTTTCAGCAACGAGCGTTTTAAAGTCCGTTTAGCGCGGCCCTGTCCCGCAGGGGCGGCGAGTACGAGCCTCCTCCTTTTCTCCGAAATTTTTTCATCTTACTCTTGCTCCCCCTTTTATTTACCTCTCGACGAAGGTGGACAAATTACCCGAAAAGACCCTGGCGGGTGCGCCGTGCGAACGCGTTACGATATATTCGGAGTAATGAAAATGCGCGCGGAAAAACGATGATCATAAAACGTTCGTACGACGTGATTCATACTGCGCACGGATGTTATCGTTATGGAATTCTCGCCAAGAGAGATCTCAGGAGAACTCTCCTTCCCCTCCTCGAAATGCGATGCGTAAGATTGCACTATTGCAGCGAGTTTCGCGGAATTAACTAAGCAACTTTTTGCGAGGGACTTCGGCCGAGCAATTGCTCTACATCTCTTTCACCTCCGCGCGTGAAATATTATTACGAGTTCGCAAGAGAAGGAATTGTCCCTCGCTAGTTCGGAATATTATTAGAAGTGGCCCGCGAGAGGAGTGTCTCTTACATAGTCAAAAATGCGTCCGAAGTGTTCCACGGCATACATAACCGGCCACAAATTGCTTCTATACTCTAAATCGAAGCCTCCGGCTGCCTCGCCTCTCCAATATTCATTCGGTCGTCGTTCTTGAAATGCGCATGTTTAAGACAGCCGGCGATCCAATTATTTCGATCGTTCGTCAGCAAGATCCAGTCGACGAGGGAGGGCAAGTGGGGAGAGAGAGAGAGAGAGAGAGAGCGAGTCGTTGACAACTTCCTTCCGCCGACTCGGCGCAATATTTCGCACCGCCACGGCATATCGACATTTCTAGCACGGTCGTAAGTGGCCGCCGTTAGAGTGTATAAGAGCCGATATATAATAACCCGGTCCACGCTACCGCTGGAACAGAGAGATGCGAAGCATCCCCGCGCGCATCCTCGCGCAGACTCCCCGGAGACATTATCCTTACCATCGCGAGTAAGCCGTCGGCCTCGCGTTCGTTTTGTTTCGCTATTTTTTATCGCGCGCCTCGTGGAACCCCGCAAGCGATACAGCCAATTATCCCGGCAGGTCTCCTGCCAAGATCCGCGACAACGACGACACTTGATCTCCCACTTCCTCTCTCGGCGACGGTATCCACTCGGCCGCTTGTTAGCAATAATCTTTATCGCATAATCGCATATCGTTGTTGCCGGTCTCGCCGCTGGCACAACGGGATCTCCACTTCTATTCGAGTTCGTTACGATTCTCTGTGTACTTTCTCCTCGCGAATAGATTTCACACAAGTGTAAGGGGCTAATCTATTATAATATTTGTCCATAAGCGATATCAATGCTAAATACATTTTATTGCTTCTTCTCTAACCTAATAATCTCTTCGGCTAACCTAATAATCTCTCCACTTCTGTTCTTCTTCTCTTTTTTCCTTTTTTCTTTGTCTTTTCTTCCACGCCACGCTACGGCCATGTCGGAAACTAATTGGGACAACAACGCCGCCTCTAAATAAGCGCGCGCAACTTAAAATATAAATGTATTTAAAACTAAAAGCTTACACAAGTAGCATTTTTTCCTCTCTGCTCTTCGTCGACTCGAGGAAGTTTTTACTTTTCGAGCAACTCCGAAATCGCATATTCGCGCATTTCACACTTGGAGGAAGACTCGGCGCATCCGCTTGCGAATTTCCGACGGGGGAAAAGGTGATTAATCATGACACTACTGCTCCAGATCTCTAGAGACGCTCTACAGCTGAATAGGTTTCATTAGCTCTACGATGCCGGTAAAAAATGCCGCAGTACTCGATGCTCATCGTCGGAAGCCGGGTTAATACTGCGCCCTGACACCCTCAACCGCGACGCGGCTCCCAGTGAGAAATTGCGACGTATCGCGCGCACTTTCGCGCGCGACGCTTCGGTCTTCCAGAAACGCAATCTTCCGCGGTATTCCCCGAACAACGTGGCGCAAGTCGCCAATTCCCCGGTTAGTAATCTGTAAATGGCGTTCAGTTTCCGCCGTTGGATCGTTGGATGACGCTTTTGACAGATGCCTCACGGATTGCGCCGGATCCCTCCCTATCCCGCGAAATGGTTTGAAATACAACTCGAGATAACGCAACGCGCACGCTCGATGTCAATTTTCATAAAAGGTGCTGTTCTCTCTCTCTCTCTCTCTCTCTCTCTCTCTCTCTCTCTCTCTCTTTCTCTCTCTCGTTCTCTCTCTTCCCTCCGTCGTAATTACCAAGATCGGTGAAACGCATGAAATGTTATTTTAATTAAAACCACCGTTTCAAACGACTCCCGGGAAACTCCGTCCGCGATTCGTGCACGGAGTGTTAATAATTTGACCTGCGACGAGTCACGCCGTAAATCGCGAGAAATACCCCACTTATTATTCTCGACTCAGGCTCTCGACAGGCGCTAAACGTATCGACGCTCCAACTGCGATGCGCCTTTGGCCTTGGATTATTAGCAACATCCCGGAGCATACATATGTAGTTGCGCATTTGTCGGTTATTTTCTTTCTCTTCGCAAATTATCTACGCGCAGATGCCGATTACCGATCAGGGAAGAGGCAATTTCGCCGTGGAAGCGTCGGTGGATAGCCGACGGTAACTCCATGTTAAGTGCAATGGATTCCTGAAGAATTGGGAATGAGAGCTGAAGCGAGTGATAAAGCTCATAGTTGTTCAATTAATTCGCGTAATAGAGAGCTTCCGGTCTGCTCCCAATTAATTTTACATAGACCTCGCTCGTTCTTTAACGGAGGTTTATAGTGCCGGATCCCCCGCGGCGTGTCGTACAAAGCGGACCGCACATAGCACGTTGCAGTCCGAGGCGAGGCGCGGCGAGGCTGCGTTATAAATATTTCACGCCGAATTTTTGCGTGCGCGCATTATTATGCCATCGCGCAGATAATCCGATTATCGTGGTATCGTTTTTTTTTCGTGCGCGACGCGATACGGGGATGATACTGCTCTCGCCCGTCAGAATGCTGGCACACCGGCGGAACGTGCGCGCTTAACTTTAAGCTATTGCGGTGGTATATTCCGCAGTATGTTCTCTCCGCTAGGGATAGTCGCTAGTTTTCTTGTCTCCAAGGATGCAAAATCTGCTTACATGAGAACATTGGTTTCAGCTCATTTACCGCCGACATGGCTTCAATTAAACTCGGTTTCTTACTCGGCTTTAGATTAATTAGCACTAACATGTCGAACTGCCTGTTCATCGCGACGGACTGTTCCTTTCGCTGAGAATTACTCTTTAAAACCGCGCTTTAAAAATGATGACAAAGTGTGCATTTATATCGATATTCCTTTTGCAGAAGGGAAGGTGGCATTGTGGCCTCCCTCTTAATATCTCCCTATTGTAGGCATAATGGCCCCTCTTAACATCTCCGCTATCAGGTGGCGTATCCCACCCCTGTTCACTCCAAGCCACATTACCACCCCTGTGCCTCTTCGACCCATTGTGCGGTGTCGCCACGTTTTTATAAGCAACGCCCTAAGTAATAAACATGATATAACTTTGAGTTTACAATTGATTAAACATCACTCTGATAAATGTGTATATATATATATATATATATATATATATATATAATCGTTAATTTTAAATATTGATTGTCGACAAAGTATATTGTACAAATTGTAGATGGACGGCCATAACACCAGCTTCTAAATTATCTAAATCATCATATCGTCATCATACAATAATTTTTTACACGTAAACAAGAAAAAAGCACAGTCGTATTTTACATTTTTAATGTTTGTCGTATGATTCGCCATCGGTAAAACGTACGGTCGTTTCAAATAGAAACGAGCCGATGCATACTAATATAGGCGTAGATCTCAAAGCTCTCTCTCGTACAGCGCATCAATCAGTGGATCGTTTACGCTCTCTGGCGGGGGAGTTTACCTTGAAAGACTATCTCGACTTTGGCACTTCTTGTCCAAAGGGAATCGACAGAAACGTCGTCGTTCTCAGCACGTGCCGAAATCTCAAGAGCCAAAGCTCCCGACGGTAACTTATAAAGGAACGAACCCGCACCCTCTCCGCCACCGCGGAAGACCCGCAAGTCGGATACCTTGATTACTTAGGCGCTGGGGAGTATTGATTTCATCGGATAGCGCGATTCACGGGTTTCCGTGCCATTAAGCGACCGACCTAATAATTCTTGTAGAGATCTCGAGACAAACGATTTGCGATCGCGACAATATCGTCGCCGACGATTGTAGTCTCGATATTGCGACTACTTTAGATATTAATTTCTTTGTTACTCCCAGAGCGAGAGCACGTTTCTACAAGTCCTTGTATTTAAAGACTACAGTCTTTATAGATAATGAATTCTGAGCGTCAAGACGGAAATAAAGGATTGTTGCCCCATAACAAATATAATAACTACTAATCATCGATTACATAAAAGTATATATTCGTATAAAAGAAAAAATTCGTATAAAAGTATATATTCAAATATATATATATCCGTTACGTTTCAATTTCAATATTACATCCTCTATTGCTGATATATTTTTTCACCATCAACGACCCGGGATATCTCGGTTTTCAGGATTGGTGAAGTTACGGGAACTCGTGAGATCACCGAAGATCCGTGACATCGAAGTCAATCTCAGACAGGCGGATCCCGACTCGTACAGGCAGGTCCTTTCGGAAATGAAAAGCAAGGAAATTCGAAATCTAATCGTGGACACAAGACCCGAGCACATGCATCATTTTCTACGAATGGTGAGTTCTCCAAAACTACTTTTCATCACCCTCCACGCAGCTTACGAATCTTCTTTCAATTATCTGTGCGAGAAATCATTATAGATTCAATAAAATTTTAATCTGAACTGTTTGCGAAGATCGCGTCAGGTATTATGGCGGAATGCCGTTTCGGCAAATTTTCACCGAGGCAATATGAACTTGCCTTGTTGATTAGAGAGACATATATACGTGATATATGTAGCGCTATATATTCGAAAAGCGAACGCGATCGATTACGTATCGCCTTTCTCAGCAATATATAATCCAGAATGTTTCGAGTTCGAAAAGTCAAAAATTACCGCCTCGCGATGTTCCATTTCGCGAAAGCTATCTCGACTGACCATACGTATCGCTCTGCATACATTGCAGATCCTACAGCTGCAGATGAATGATTACAAGTACCACTACCTCTTCACGACATTCGTAAGTACCCTAGGGATATTGAAACGCATGTGGAGATCCACTTGGTCCGCGACTCGAATCGCTCGCTCGCTTTTCCACAGGATATCGAAACCTTCGACCTGGAGGATTTCAAGTACAATTTTGTCAATATCACTGCCTTTCGTTTGGTCGACGCGGACGACCTCAGCGTACGCAGTATCCTGAGGGACATGGAACGCTATCAGCCTGCGGGGAATACGATCCTCAATAAATCGAGAATCATCCAGGTAAGCACACACAAGCTCTCTGTTTATGGAAATATATCGCGTTATGAAATACACTCGAAGATACGCTCGCGTAGTCGTGCTTTTATAACTGCTGAGAATCAAGAACTTTGTGTGTGCGCGTGTGTATGCATATATACTCGACGTTTCCTTAATATTCCCATACGAACAACGACTTCAAGATGTAATCCGTATCTGCGCGACTATTGAAAGATATACATTTTGCATTTGTTAAAAAATCCTGAATGTTTTTCTGGCGAATAGTTATTTTCTATCGATATGACGAGCTCGCATTTACGACTACTCATTTACATTGTATGGATATACGAGTATATAACAAATACGCACGCCGAAACGACGCATTTTTATTTCGCAGTAACGTTTTATCGGTTATCATTTCTCGCGAGACGACGTCCGTTGATAACGCGCTTTTGAAATATTGGGAGCGCGATGAGGGATGTAAACAATTTATCGTCGCGCTGCATATTTGCTCTGTCGCCCTGCAGCTACGACGTCGGTGCATCGGCACGCCAACGAACATATTTTACGGATCCGTAAAATCAATTAAAAGCTACGCGGCAAACTATGCGCCACACCACGTCGCGAATAACGAGAGCCGCATTATGAGGATATCACAGGAATAACGAGCTGTTTCTCGGCAAAAACAACGGAAATCCATTTTCTTCCATTATACCGCGACAAACTAGTTTTTCAACAACTGTAAATATAAAGATAGTCCGTTGATTGCTCAATAACAATGCCCTTGAATACCTTGAGTTGATGATAATTGATATTTTATTTTTGCATTAATCCTACGTACGTAAATTCCGTTGAACTTGCAAGATCAAAGAAAAATCTTGCGGGAGATAACACCATTGTATCCTATTATACATTATATTGCTTTTTAATGCTACAAATAATTCATTACCCTTCACCTTGTTGGAGTTTAAGGCAGAGTTTCTTCCAGAGTTATTTAATATTCGCTCATCTCCATCTATTTACGCTTAAACTTTTCTTTAATTTCTAATGTTAAAATCAACAGCGTATTTATTGGGTAACCCAATAAAATATTGGGATAAACAAGTGTTACATAATCTAATAAAAATACTAAAGTAAGTGGGAAAATAAAAATGCTATACTCTAAGATTCTCCATTGATTTCTCAAGTTCGACGGTCTTTGCGGGATTAATGTGAAACATAAATTTCGACTTGCGATACATTGCTAAATAACGATGAGATAAAGATGCAGTGAGATTATTCCGATTCTATTATCTCAGCTTTCTGTTTTATCAATAATAAAATAAAGCACGAATACGGTCTCGTAACATCTACGTAAAACACTTGACAATTGCAATATCGAAAAATCGAAATTCGGCGCACCGCGTTTGAATTTCGTACACATGCATTCCTTTACTCATACCGACGATAATATCAAATTATATAACACACGCAATTTCATCGTATATTTGTACACGGAAAAAGAAACGGATTTTTCATTGAAGTTACATAACGTTTCGTCTGCAAAAAGAACGCAGGTATAAATCCCGTTAATTACACACATTCACAAACATTCAGATAAATGTATATATATTTATGTGCTTATCTAATAATATGATTCACTTTATTAGCACATAGTATTGCATTAATAAAGAGAAAATGGGAAATATTGCTTATGACATAATAACAAAATGGATATTTTGATACAACGTTTGCGATGGAAATTAATAATTGTCTGAACGATTTGTGTCAATACTTATTTTCAAGATGAGTCACTGAATATTTAGACGAGCAAGTTGTATCTGTTTTACTTTTTGTCACTTACTCCTTGTGTCCATATTCCATGCCTGGGAGTCTCGCGACTTTTACAATCGACAATGATAGATTTGCACGCGGGGAACGAGATGGTAGACGGCGGCTTCTTCCCGCTCGATAACGTGTAACTGTATTACGCGAATATAACATCCGATATGTACGTTAAAATACACGAATGGCCGCGAACAACGTCCGCGTCCGCGGACGCAACGCGCTCACGACGCGTGAAGCTTAACGCTTTTTTTCCAATTTAGATGCAGATCAGAACGCCGTCGCGACGACTTCGTGAAACTCCACCGGTGCCGTCGTCGCGACGACGACGTCCCGTAATCGCGTTTCGTATCACGCATATGCGTGCAGGCGTGAATGCGCTGAATGGCATGCCAACGAAGCACCGTCCTGCCGTACAGGGGAAAAAATCGCGCGTCGTGCGCATTTAATCGAGCTTCCGCGACCCATCGGTCTCTCCCGAGCTTGCTATATATATATATATATATATATTTTTTTTTTTTTCATTTATTAATACACATTGATTCTTTGCTTTTTGTGTAAAAACTTGGTCGACGTTACAAATCCCCGACTCTCCGCATAACTGAAGTATCTAGATTACGATCAGCAACTTTTAAGTTGCTGCATATTCTCGCTTGCTGGAGATTCTTGGGCATTCAGATGAAAGTCCTCGAGTCATCGACTCCTTGAATTTTCGAGAATTAGGGCCAACAGGGTTCTTAAATCTTTCGTTTTCGTCTTTCCTAAAACGCACGAAACGCACGAAAGTGTAGCGCTTTTGTTAATAAAATAGCCCACGAGCGTTAATTATTACGCAATCATTACGCAATTTTGTCTACATTTTCATGATATGTAACGCAAGAAAGAGAGAGATACCTAAAATGCATTAAAATCATAAAATAATATTCTTGCCTAAGGTGAAATTTCATAAAATGCGAGGCAGATTATACGAATCCATAATACGCGAGACTCCCTGTGCTTGCTTTGTTTTTACTTTACAGCGGTCGGCGCAATGCAAATAATCCCAGCCTCCATCGAGATCCGAATGAATAAATCGATTTCTCAAACGCGTGATCTCGCGCCGGATTTCCACAAACATGTAGACGATTCGCGTCGCGGAACCGCCGAACTTTTTCTCTTTTTCTCTCCGCCAACGACAACTCCACCTCGATTTTCAATCAAAATATGCGATGTTTACGATAAGTGAAAGAAACGTTTCCGCTCACAATGCGCGAAGGACGTTTTGGCAGGGTGCGTCTCTTCGAAATCGCGGCCAATAATTCAAATAAGATTGTATTATTCCGGCAACGTCTGCGTTGCCTCCGGCCGCCCTTTGCAGTTATTATTATTTCTCGCCAATCTCCCTCCAATCTCGTTTGTTTGTTCAGAGAGGGTGACGGCATTTCAGCAACTTCGAAGAGTTACTTGCGCGTATAATAAAACCGAAAGCGCTCGACGAGTCGGAGAGGAAAGCGTGATCTTTTGTCCGAACGAGTACCAGCCGAAAGAGTACAGTGACATTCCCTTGGAAGTGCATATCTTCCAGAAACGATACGATGCGCATTTGAAGGGAGTGTTACTATTTCGCTACCATTTCGTTGCCTCAGCACGCGAGCAGGCGAGAATGAAGAAAGAGGTCTTTTATTCAGTGAGCATTTGATGTTGCTCTTAAAGGCGTGCCCCGTTCAGCATCGCGTTTAAGCCTGACATTTTCTCACCCTTCATTCCGTATTGTGCTTCTAACTTCTCTCTCTCCTTAAAACTTTTTGTTAATTTTATGGCTTCTGCTACAGCCTTTTATTCGTATGCGTACGAACGATAAAGGGCTACAGTAATACTTTGCCTAAGGGCGATAATTTACGATGAAATTCAACCACGATGCGTGGTCATGCGACAGAAGAGAGAACTATACTAATCCGAGCAAATCGCTGAATATTTAATTTACGAGATAATCGAAATATTCTCCGTTCGCGGCGCGTCCACGCCAGAAAGCGAATTGTAAATAGACAATCTGAAATTCCGGATGCGATACTGAGATTAAAAAACTTGGCCGCATTTACAATTCATGAGGAAATACCCGGGTTCGGGTCCACAAGAAGAAGAGTTCTCTAATTACTTCCGCTACAGCCGTTAAACTTCTCGAAGCGGCACAATGCGGAAGCATCATATTCGACTGTAATATACACTTGAAGCGGCTGCGCAGCGCTTGCTTACTTCAAAATATTCGAAGAGAAACATCTTGAAGAGAGAGAGCCGATAAGTTACTCTCATATTTGACCATTGTCGATACTACAATGTCGAAGAGAAATCCAAGATTTCTCCCATTTTTCCTCGTTCGATGTTTAATTCAACGCAGATTTTAATTGAACAGAATTTTGCTCCGAACTTTACTCAGATAGGTACGGAAATTCAAAGATGTGAAAAAAGGTTATATAGAAATATTCATTTTTCTTTTTGCCGCTGCGCCTTGGAAAGTTAATTCTAAATTTTACAAGTACAATGTTCGGTACGCAAAATTCTTATTCAATTGAGAAATTTTCTGCGTTTATTGTTCGTCGGAATTCCGTTCACACAGGCAGCGGTATTACGAGCGATTTCGGGACGGTTTAGTTGCTCGCAAAAATGTTATCGCGCGGCCGTATCTGCGTACATCAACGAAACAAGCTGGGTTAATGCCTACTCGTCTGGAATGAACGTCTACGGGATTCCCCGGGAATAGCGTTAGAGATAAGGCAGAATAAGATGTAGAACGTGTTCGCGAAAAGTTCGAGCCGAAAGCAAAGCCGAGAAATTCGTATGTCTCTCTTGAAATATTAAAGCACCCTTGAGTATATCATAAATAAGCCGTTTCTCGTTCTAATGAAGAAGCAACGGGGACATATTTTCTCATACAGCGGTGCGTGTATGTGTGTGAAAAATACGCGTCTGCATGAAATATTTTTATATTCCAATAGTACAGATCTTTTCTACACTTTCTTCGCTAAACGTAAGACTACGGTAAATTAGAACGCACGACTATCCCGATTTTCTAATCCGACGACAGAGCGCTTAGAAAGGTGTCAAAGGAAGCACAGAGGCTGGTCGCCCATGATTATTAGCTTTATCTTATTAGCGAAATGAGCGTAGGTGACTTTTCTAAGACTTCCTTTCGCTTTTATGAGCGATTATCTTCATGCAGTGTC